GCATCGCTACCTCACCGTCTCGCCACCGACCCGGAGCTGCCCCTACACCGGCGTCCAAGCTGCTGCTGCGTCATGGACAGAGCGGTGAATCCTCGCAAAGGGTGAGAAGGCTCACACCGAATCTACGGGTTACACAGAGGTACACATCATCGATACTAACAGAAAGTGTACAGAAATCTACTTCTCCACGGTGACCCTTTACTGGAATAGACTGTTTGCAGCTTCCTGCACTCGTCCTTCAATTCCAAAAAGCTTATTTTTTTAAAAAAAAATGGCAAAAGCTTTGCCGCAGATTTTATTAGACGATAGAAAAGAAAAAAAAGAGATTTACATGCCGGCCAAGACTCTTGGAACGCTACTCCAACCAAGAGAAAACTACTACTAGCACCGAAAAATCCGAAAAGACTAATGAGCGCCAAGCCTTCCGGCAAAGGAAAAAAAAAACCAGATACACAACACAATAACTCTGCCACTGGTAGTATGCTACTCCGAAGCTTCACTTGTCCCTGATGCCATGGCCATTCCATACTGCATAATATCATCTTTACAGAGGACGGCAACCTGATGAGGATTAAGCGCTTTTTGTTGAAATTGCCTTCTATTTCTCTCCTTCTATATATTCCACCAAAGATAGATGAAGATCCCGTCCAGTACGGTTATTTACCAAAATTTAAATGGATTATATCAAAATCCTAGATTAGCCACTGATTAATAGTATGCTTTGAAACATACTTGCCTACCTGATATTGATGAAGTTTTGAATTTCCTGAGAAAGTCTGGCCGTTCGTTCTTACGTCTGGTTCATTTTCACGGTCAAGCAATTATTCCGGTGTTGTGATTTTGCTGTTCAACGGTCTATGCGTTTCCGCGCTGAAGTCCAGCACTTGGTCCAGTGTAGAATATCTTGATATCACCGGATCAATTGCAGCTCTGTTCAGCCGTTGGTGTGCACGTCCTCAGCAGCCAGCAGACAAAGCCAACAGCAGCTGATTATATTACAACACATGCCGTGCATTTTCTTCTTGACGTGGTGTTGTCCAGCTACAGTGAATAATCATTCAATCATTGATTAGCTGAACTTTGATATGCTAGTTTAATTCCTTTTGACTTGAACTAGTGCTCCCGGTTGAAGTTTCTGGTATCTGATTTCCTCTATTCTTAGTTGTAGCTTATTGCTCTCTTCCGTAGCACTTATTTCTCTCGTGTCATCTAAATTTTTGTTTCCGCTACGTTTAAAAAATTCCTAATAATTCCTAGGGTCAATATATCACGAGTTGGCAGGCGTAACCTTGACAATTAGAAGAGAGTCACGTTAGGTTGAATTTAGGATATAGGTCAAGTTCTTAACACCCCTCTTCTGGTCGTCTGCTCGGTCCTTTAGCATGGCTGGATGTTGAAAGATTTGTCAGTTGCGCTCTTTTTAAACGTCCACCTTCTATAAATGTGGTGGGGGTGTCGAAGCTTATTACTGTGGTGGTGGCGATCCACCCGCACCGGAACCCAAACCACACTTTGCTCCTGCTGTCCATGCCAGACAGTGCCATGGAGAGCAGACAGTGCCTCTGCCTGCTTGCTCTTCTGAACTTGGCCATCGTCTTCCAGTTGTTCACATACACTACAAGTAGTAGCTCCAACACAGAAAACGACGACCTCCGCATCCTCCTGTCGTTCAGATCCTTGATAACAAAAGACCCTTCCAGTGCACTGTCATCCTGGAACGCCGACGGCAACAGCAGCACCTCCAGTGGCACTGGCAGCCATGGATCATTCTGTGGATGGACCGGGGTGACATACTGACATGCAGCGGCCACCGCCGGAGCCTTGGCCGTCATGTCACCGCCTTGCGTCTGAGAGGCCTTGGCCTCATCGGCACCATGTCACCACACCTAGGTAATCTCCCCACCTTCGTGTGCTTGATTTGTCAGACAACAAGCTTGAAGGCAGCATCCCTCCTGCCCTTGCCAACTGCTTGGCACTCCATGAGCTTAACCTGAGCACCAATTTCATGACTGGCATTATTCCTTCCGCCATGAGTCACTTGTCAAAGCTTGTTGTTTTCGACATAAGCAAAAACTATATCTCGGGCCTCGTCCCTTCTTCATTCGCAAACCTCACCGCAATAACTACGTTCAGTATTTTTGATAACCATGTGCATGGGAAGCTCCCACCATGGCTGGGGAACTTGACCAGGCTAACATATTTGAGCTTTGCTGCGAACATGATGAGTGGCCATGTCCCACCAGCTTTGTCAAAGCTAGCTTACCTTGAACAGCTACATATAGAGGGAAACAATCTACAAGGTTCCGTTCATCCATCCTTGTTTAACATGTCGCGTCTTGAGGTCTTCAACGTCGGCTCAAACCAGCTGTCAGGTTCTCTGCCTCAAGATTTGGGCTTTACACTCCACAATCTAAGGGAATTTTGTGTATTCTACAACAGCTTTGAAGGGCAAATTCCAGCTTCCCTGGCGAATATATCCCTGCTTGAAAGGTACGTCCTCCATGGAAACAAATTCCGTGGCCGAATTCCACCAAACGCTGGTGTGAATGGCCGTTTGACGGTGTTTGAAGTGGGTAAAAATGAGCTCCAAGCTACAGAGCCAAGGGACTGGGATTTCCTAACTTCCTTGGTTAACTGCAGCAACTTGTGGGACTACAATATTCAACTTAATAACCTTTCTGGTGTTTTTCCAAGCGCAATCGGTAATCTCTCACAAGAGCTTCAATACTTTTACTTGGGAGGAAACAAAATTTCTGGGCATATACCAGCTGGAATAGGAAGGTATTACAAACTCAGAACACTAGATTTCGCAGATAACCTCTTCACAGGAACCATACCTTCGGATATCGGAAAACTCTACAACCTCCACACACTTTGGCTATATCAGAATAGACTACATGGGGAGATTCCATCATCGTTAGGCAACATCACACAACTGAACTTGTTTATTTTATCTACCAATCATCTCGAAGGTAGAATTCCAACAACTCTTGGCAATCTTAGCATGTTAAACTCCTTTGATATCTCCAATAATCTCCTTAGCGGACCAATCCCACAAGAGATCATCAGCATTTCGTCCCTAACTGAAATGTTTGACCTCTCCAACAATGCATTAACCGGTCGCATTCCTCAGCAGATTAGGCAGTTGGTCAATATCGGCAAAATTGATCTCTCATCAAATAGATTATCAGGATACATTCCAAGAGCACTTGGTAGTTGCCTTGAGTTGCAGTTCTTGTACTTACAGGGCAATCTTCTAGAAGGACAAATCCCAGAAGACCTCAGTACGCTACAAGGTTTACAAGTGTTGGATCTTTCTGCCAACAAATTGTCCGGACCCATCCCTGAACTCCTCGAGAGCTTTAAGGGTCTAATGATGCTAAACCTTTCATTCAATCAGTTATCTGGTTCTGTGCCAAATAAGGGAATTTTCACTAATGCAAGTGCTGTATCACTCACAGGTAACATTGCATTGTGTGGAGGCCCTCTGTTCCTTCATTTACCAGCATGCCAACCACTGTCTCCAAATAGCCTTGCACGACATCCACTGCTGCACAAATTGATCATTTCTATTGTGGGAGGATTTTTCTTTTTTCTTGTTTGCATTTCTGCCTGCTACTATGTTAAGAAGCTAAGAACAAACCCAGCAAGTGCTAATCGAGATCATGGTAACACATTTATGAGAGTGATATATCAGAGGATTTCATATGCTGAGTTGTATGTGGCAACAAATTCATTCTCTGCACAAAATTTGATGGGTCGTGGGAATTTCAGTAGTGTATATAAAGGAACATTGGCAAGTGGGGAACATTCAAGTAGTGTAGCAGTGAAGGTTCTTGATCTCCGACGTCAAGGAAGCAATGCATCTTTCATTTCTGAGTGCAATATACTGAAAATGATTCGGCATCGGAAACTAATCAAGGTTATAACTGTGTGTGATAGTTTAGACCACAATGGTGATCAATTTAGGGCACTTGTGTTGGAATTTATCTCCAATGGAAGCCTAGATAAGTGGTTACATCCAACCACAGAAAACTCCGATGGGGACAACCTTGGAATGTTAAGCCTTGTGCGCAGGTTAAGCATTGCACTTGATGTTGCCGAGGCACTGGAGTATCTTCACCATCATACTTACCCTTCTATTGTGCACTGCGATATTAAACCAAGTGATTGGAGGTGATGAATCTGCAACCTTTACTGTACCCAACCATATATTCAATTGTTGATGTTCTTTCATTGTTTCAGATGCGTTTCGGATTGGTTCCAGAATATTGGATCTTGCCACATGTCCAATATTTTAAGGTTGATCGTTGAATTCGTCATAAAGACTACACTCTGGCTTCGTTGTTCAACAAGACCATGTTCATCGGCTGCATCAAGCAAATCCACTAAAGAAGAGGACAATGGAAGAATCTGAATAAAATATTTTATTTTTTCACATGTAATTTGGAAAGGTACCATGCCGAGGTTTTTTTTTATAATTCCCCGTTTTTGAAAAAACAACAACATTATGCAAGTAGCTTTCAAGGTAAATCCACAAACATACTTTTTTGTTTTTTTAAAATAAATATAATTATTTTAAAACTAGTATTCTCTCCGTCTTAAAATAAGTTTTCATCTCACACTAAGTGGAGTCAACTAAGCTCAATTTTTACTGGATTTATAAAAAATAATATCATCATTTGTATTTTCAAATAGGTTTACTATAAAAATATATGACCCTAATAATACTTATTTGGTATCGTAAATTTTAGTATTATTTTTGTATATGTTTGGTCAAAATTGAGATTGTTTGACTCCTCAAAATATATGGCGTGATTAATCTAATAATAGTTATTAGGTATCGTAAATTTTAGTATTATTTTTGTATATGTTTGGTCAACGTTGAGATTGTTTGACTCCTCAAAATAATACTTATTTGGTATCCTAAATTTTAGGACGGATGAAGTACACAGATTTTCAAAGTTGGAGAGGTTCCATTGGTTTTTTTCATTAAAGCGTCAATTATCCATACGAAGGTAAATAAAAGAGAAGACAACTCGGTGGGCTGGTGGGTCCAGAGATAGCCGGATGCTGCGTTGCTTCGAGAAGGAACGAACACCTTGCACTTTCCGTTGCTGCGCTGTGTTCTGTACTTCTGTGTAGCTTTTGATCTCTATCTGAAATCTGAAATGGAAAAAAATAGAAAACAAAAGACGAGGAGGAAAGCAAGCCCCAATCATCACACGCCGAATAACGCCGGAACCCGGAATATAATAACGTGGCATATTAAAATTAAAATATATATGCAGACAGGGAGGGGTGACACGACACGAGCTTTCCTCTGCTCTCCTCCTTTCTTCGTCTGAAATCTCCCCATCGTTTTCTTCATGTCGTTTTGGGTCACTTCTGGCACAGGTTCAATAATTCCTCATCGTAACGTATTCAAAACTGAATTTGCAACATGATTGGATCAGGACCAGCATGGCAATTTTGCAGCTGCAAAAGAACAGTTTCTCTGAGTAACTAGATCACCAAATCTAGTGTCTACTGCATCAGAATTCATCTTTTTCCCCACCAGGAAAATTAGCCGCAGAATTCTTGTGAGAAGAACACACCAGTTTCTCTTTCACAAGAACTCAACACAGACCAAGTATTTGCAGTTGCAGGCTTGCAGCACAGTCAGGAGGGTCTGCTCTTGAGACATACTAACATTCAGAACCAAGCTTTACATCAGTTTACCGTGCTTTGGTCGCCAATCGGCTACAAACGATTTGGCAACACCTACTCAATTTCCTCCGACTGACAGGAAGAACTGAAGATTCAGAAGTCGAAACTCTCCGTCAGACAAAACCATGCTTCACATTCTCGACTATCTCTACCTGTAAGAAGGCAACTCTCCTGCAGGGAGCTCCCAGTTGTCGTTCTCCTCGTCATCAGAGGCCTGCTCCTTCAGCCCCTGGTCATCGTTGAAAGGATATGGGCCCTTGAAGCGCCTGCAGTGGAACGATCGGGCTCAGGAGTCAGTCAGGAGTTTTCTGCATTGTTGGTACAGCGCAATTGAACTCTCAAGGAACTTTGGAATTGCCAAAAATAATTATGTCCCCAGAAAGGGGAGATGTCCTTGATGATAGATTTCACATAATTCAGTATTAAGCTTGCTGAACGTTCCCACAGTGGGTATTTGATTAGGCATTTCCTTGCAGTTGGACATGACAGGGATGCACACTCATGTATTCATGATCAAGAATAACACCCCGCTTTTCAGAAAAGCGATCAAAGAATTATACAGATGACCACAATATTATGATGATGGTCTGTCGAACAGCCTAAATACCAAAGACAAAAATAGGACCATTTCACATGTGCAGCTATTTCCATTCAGAAAAGATCTGTAGTGACATAATCTAGCTGTCCCACCACCTTCAGGATCATGACTATTAGTAGTCGACTGGTTGGCATCCTAATGCCTGACGAATTTGGCAATCAAACTACTATTGTTGTCAGATATATGATCACATAGCATCTTAGTGTACAGCAACTTGCGCACACACATGTAGGTCAAATCACTCGCTAACACATGCAATTTGGCCTATACTTAAGCAAAACGGCCATAAATCAGGAATCATGTCATTTATAGTACTTCAAATTCGAAGACAAGGAACACAGAGCAACTATCCAAGCAACTATACGCACATAGCGCAAAAACATGTCGATCAAGTTTACTAATCAGAAGAGCGATAGATAGAGCAGTGGAGGACGCACCTCCGGCGGTACCGCCGCGACGCAGACCGCGCCATGCGCTTGCGCTTGTCCCGGGCGTCCTCGTGCCTGCGCCGCCGCTTGATCTCCTCCGTGACGCCCGCGCGGGACACCTGCCAATTGAACCGCCGCAGGAGCTCCTCTCCGGCCACGTTATGGGCAGGAACTACGGAGCTAATACTTGGTAAAGAAGAATAGAAGTACACGGTAACGAAGAGTGCTTGTATAAGAGAAATGTATTAAGGTTTTACAACTTTCGTATCCTACTCTCTCTCTCCATCTCCATACTTATACTCGTCTATGGACGCCACATGGGCCCGAGCACCCTTGGATTGGGCCGGACTCACCTCTTGGACCTTGGTGAAGGCCGAGTACTGCCGCGGACGCTGCCTCCAGCAGGGTCGTCGCGGTCAGTGGACGCCGAGACAGAGCCGGTGCTGACATTCCCCCCTTCTTCTAACCGGCGTGTCCCCATGCCGGAGCCCGCAGAAATTGGCGACGAAGCTCCTCGACAGCCTAGCCGGCATATGCGACCACTTGACGAGAACTTGGTGAACAGGGTGATCACCAGGTGTCCAGCACCATTGCAAGAAGCGTTCAGGAACCTAAAAGGCAACAAGTTCAGAGGGCAACGAAGAACTGACAGTCTACGAACCTGGAGAGCTCTTGAGCAGCGACACATGAAAGATGGGGTGTACTGTCGCTGTTGCTGGAAGGTCCAGGAGATAAGCCACAGCACCAATACGCTTTAGAATTCGGAAGGGCCCAAAGAACTTGAATGAGAGCTTGTTGTTCGATCGAGCCGCCACTGACAACTGCACATACGGCTGGAGCTTCAAGAAAACCCAATCACCCACATTGAAAGAGCGCTCGGAGCGATGCTTATCTGCTTGTTTCTTCATGCGAAGTTGAGCATGCTCCAGGTGTTGGCGGACAAGGCGTTGCATCAGGTCCTGATCAGAGAGCCACTGCTGGAGATCCGAGACAGGAGCAGCCGATGAGAGGTCCAACCCCAAATGCCTTGGTTGACAGCCATACAGCACCTCAAAGGGTGAGCGTCCCAGAGCCGAGTGAGGAGATGTATTATACCAATATTCAGCGAGGGACAGCCACTGCGACCATTGGCGAGGGCAGGCATGAACGAAGCATCTCAGATACGTCTCCATACACTGATTAACACGCTCTGTCTGCCCGTCCGTCTGTGGATGGTATGCAGAGCTCATGCGGAGATCAGTCCCTGCCAATTTGAAAAGTAGCTGCCAGAACTTGCTAGTGAACAGCCGATCCCGATCAGAAATGATAGCCAACGGCAAACCATGCAGCTTGTAAATCTGATCCAGAAAAGCACAAGCAACAGAGGCAGCAGAAATCGGATGGCGCAAAGCTACAAAGTGTGCAAACCTGGAAAATTTATCCATGACCACCATGATAACATTGGCAGAGCCCGAGAGAGGCAACCCTTCGACGAAATCCATGGAGATTACTTCCCAAGAAGATTTTGGAACCGGCAGGTGTTATAGGAGACCGGGATAGCTGCTGCGGTCCGGTTTTGCCTGAGCACAAACAGAGCAAGACTGCACGTATTTAAGAACGACAACACTCATACCAAGCTAATAGAATAGTTGGTGGATTCTGGAAAGTGTGGCAGGAGCACCCGAATGGCCTCCGACGGCACTGTCATGAAGAGCTGAAAGCACACAGGACTGAAGATCAGTAGACGAACCCAACCATACCCTGTCCTTGTACATTATAAGCCCTTGGCGCAAGCTAAATGGAGGCTTAGCTGCAGGGTCCAACGAAAGTTGAGTTAATAGACTACAGGCTTCGGGATCTTGCTGGTACCAGTCCTGCAATGCCGATTTCCAGTCATGTACAGGAGATGACACGGCCAACAGATGTTTAGAAGGAGGCCGGCGGGACAAGGCATCAGTGACGGTATTATCTTCATCGTGGCGGTAGATGATGCGATAGCGGAGGCCCAGCAAGCTGGTGAACACCTTTTGCTGCCAATGCGTGTGGAGCCGCTGCTCATTGAGATGCACAAGGCTTTTCTGGTCTGTGTGGATCACAAACTCGAATTGCAACAGATAATGGCGCCAAGTGTCCACCGCCATAAGAATGGCCAAGTACTCCTTCTCGTAGATGGAGAGACCCTGATTGCGAGGCCCTAAAGCTTTACTGATATAGGCTAAGGGGTGACCGCGTTGTTGCAAGACAGCACCAATTCCATAGCCAGAGGCATCAGTCTCAACCTCAAATGGAATGGAAAAATCTGGGAGAGCCAAGACCGGAGCTGAAGACAGTGCTGCCTTGAGTGAACTGAAAGCTGAATCATGCAGAGAAGTCCAGACAAACAGATTATCTTTCTTCAACAAGTCATTAAGGGGCTTGGCAATGACACCGAAATGACGCACAAATTTCCTATAGTACCCGGCAAGTCCGAGGAATCCGCGAAGAGCACGAACTGTAGTTGGTGTTGGCCAGTCCTGAATCGCCTGTACTTTGGCCGGGTCGGTTGCCAAACCAGCACTGCTAATGACGTGGCCCAAATATGACACTGAACGTTGAGCAAACTTACACTTGGAGAGTTTAAGCTTCCATTGGTCAGCTACAAGCCACTGGAATACCGCTGCAACATGTTGCACATGCTCTTCAAAAGTGCGACTGTATATCAATATATCGTCAAAAAAGACAATCACAAAGCGACGGAGCCCAGGAGCCAAGGTGGCATTCATGGCACCCTGAAATGTACCTGGAGCACAGGTCAAGCCAAAGGCCATTACCCTGAACTCATACTAACCCAGATGGGTTTGGAAGGCAGTCTTGTGCTCTTCGCCGGCTTCAAGCAAGATTTGATGAAACCCAGCACGGAGGTCCAAATTAGTAAACCAACTGGCCTGGGCGAGCTCGTCCATCAGCTCATCGAAGACTAGAACAAGGAATTTGGACTTAGCTGTAAGAGCATTGAGATGGCGGAAATCGAAGCAAAACCAGGAGGATCCATCTTTTTTCTTGACGAGGAGCACTGGTGAAGAAAATGCACTAGTGCTTGGCTGAATAATTCCTTGGGACAGCATGTCATTGACTTGGCGCTCGATCTCGTCCTTCAGTCCCGGTGGATAACGGTATGGCCGAATGAATATCAGACTTGCACCGGGCAGCAGAGGAATAGAATGATTGCAGGCCCTGGAAGGTGGCAGCTCCACTGGTGGGGTAAACAAATCAGGGAATGCATCAATCAAGGCTTGGATTTCTGGTGGCAACGACTGCTGAGAAGAGACTTCACTGGACGAAGTGGACAGGTTGTAGAGTTGCAACAGTAATGGGGATGGAGGCTCCTCATCGATGCCTTGCAGCAACACGGAGTTGCCATGATAAGGAATGAGCAACCATTTTTGGAGCCAGTGGACTTGCATGGGACTGAATGCAGATAACCAATCCATGCCTATAATAGCATCAAATGTTGACAGGGGAAGAATCCGAAAATCAGATGAAAAGGTGCACTGATCAATGGTCCATGGCACCTGACTTAGAATGCCTTAACTCTTAAGGAAACCTCCGCCAGCAACTTGCACCTTTGTTGGCTGCTGAATTAGCTGAGCTGTGGATAGCTGAGAGGCCAAAGACTCACTGACAAAGGAAGTCAAACTACTTGAATCAACAAGAATCAAAGCAGGGATGCCAGCCACTGTCCCAGAAAACCTGATAGTGCGAGAAGCACTAGAACCCATAGCAGCTACCTTTGATATGGCCACACAACACAACTATTATGGCATAGGTTCTTCAGCATCTGTGGAGTGACAATCTTCAGAAGCATCAAATGAATCCCACAAGGCCTCTACTGCCAGCAACACCTCAGGAGGGCATGTGTGATCCTTACTCCACTTGGCACCACAAGGCCGAGTGCACGACGATAAGCCTTGACTGCCTGGAGCTTGGGATCAGCATTTGTAGAAGAATTAGCCGGAGCAGAAGTGGCAAGGCCTAGTTTAATAGCTGGCTTCTCGGCCCGAGGCGGCAATGGCAATGGCAAGGCCGTCTTGGGTGGCAGCTGGAACTTGGAAGCAGAATTCCAATCACCAGCACGACCATGCTTGATGGTACTGGAAGCCCCAGCTTCTTCCTGCAGCAATGCCAGAACACAAGCAGTATCGAGGTTTTTGGGGCGTTGAACCAACACGACAGCTTTAATGTCAGGAAAGAGCCCATCAATGAAACGCATAGTGTAATACAC